CCCAGCTAGCCCCGTATCTGAAGGTAAAACCTTCTCCTCTTCTAGGTTGGTTAGGGTTGGGGTGCAGTGGGTTTTGTGGTTTTGAGTCGCTTAGGTTTTTAGGTGAGAGAGAGATGAGTTTACTCCCCATGGCCACCGATCCACGGTGGCCGGGGAGTTTTGGGTTCTCTGTTTGCTGGAGAAAGGGGTTGAGAAGGAGAAGTGTTGAGAGCCTTTTCGGCTCTCTGTTATGAGAAGGAGAGAGGGAGATCGGCTGAGGAAATGAGGGGGAGAGTATATGATTTTAGGGTTTCCGAATAACCCTTAAAAGGGTTATATTTCAGACGTCGAACGGCGTCGTTTTGAAGCATGAGTGAGGCTGAGTGATGGGATTAAGGGCTAATAGCCCATTTGGTCCTCTTATCTCTGTAATCTTGCACGCGTGTCCTTAGCATTCATGGCTAAACAACAGTTTAGGTCCCCCCAAGCTTCTGTAAGGGTGTAATCTGGTCACTAAAGGAAGTCCATGCAATCTTATTTCGAGCCTATAGTTTTATTTTGTTTTGTTTACATCACTAGTCTATATATTATGTAGGTTTTATCTTCGAATTTGGACATGTAATTTATGTTTTTCTTCATTTTGGTCACTGGACTGGTTATTGTTAATATTTCAGAAAGTTTAGACATTATACCCTTTATTTATGAAACTTTTATTTTGATCACTATTATCATATTTTGGGTTAAATTTCGATTAATGTCTATTTATTTTACGTTCATTATATTTAGTCCTTATCTGTTTATTATTACATTTTTATTAAAGTTCGAATTTGGCCCTCAGATTTATGCATCTTCTGTTTTAGTCACTGTTTTGGCATTTGGTTTAATATTTCTTTTATCCTTCATGTCTTTGTGTATTTTCAGTTTAGTTATTTAACTCTTGTTTCTTCGATTGTAGCCCTTTAAATTTTTGTATTTGTATTTTGGTCCCTGAAATTATCATATGTGCTTATTTGGTTTGTATTTTGGTTTGTAATGTTAACTTAGTTTTATTTTAGTTATTTATGTATGAATGTATTTTTACATACTCTATGGTTATTTGTATTATGTAAGTAATGTATTTAATTCAATTTAATGTAAATGTTTATATTTCCAATTGCATTTTATTTTCATTATATTTGATTTTATTTTCAAGAAAACATATTTATAGAACGGGCGTGGAAAGTATCACTTGATCGAAGTGGTACAATCCGATACGACGTTCAAACAGAATAATAAAAATGCAAATTCTTCCTTTTACAAGCTTATAGAAATTATTTTCATTGTTTTTATTTTTTGATTAATTTATTTGATGGTCATATTGTTTAATATTTAAATTTTAATCTTTATTATTATTTCTTCATTGAATCTTAATATGAGTGATGTATGTTTTGGAAAAGTATAATATGATGTATTTTATGTCAATTTTCGTCATTATCTTTTAATTTAAAGAGAAAATATTCTTTACAAGTAAGAAATAGACGAGGTAGCTTTCCCGGCGGAGGATTGCAAATCTCGAGATTTCTTATCGAGAAAAGGATTTTTTATTTTCAATAAATAAATCATAATTTATTTATTATTCTATTTTCATAATTTTTATTGTATTAATGGTTGTTATGTTACTATTAACGATACATAAATTAAGCATATTGTATTTTCTACTCATGACGATATTATTTAGTGGTAATTCAAAGATAGGATATACTTTATAGATAAGAAATAGATGAGATAGCTTTCCCGTTGGAGGATTGCAAATCTTGAGATTTCTTACCAAGTGAAGTATTTCTATTATTTTAATAGTAACAAATATTCAATAAATAGATCATATTTTTTACTTCATATTCAAATTGTAATTTCCACCATTTACGACGATGTGTAAGCTACACAGTACCAATCTTGGGCGTTGTGGGGTGTTTACCCTTCCCCACACGTAACCGACTCCCGAACCTGTTTTAAATGAATCTTTGGTAACGTAGACCAAATTTTTGCCTTATAAAATTATTTTTTCTTAAAATTGTTTTTAAAAGACGTTTTTAGGTATTCGACCTACCTAACCCAAAGGTCGATGGCGACTCTTTTAAATTTTATTCAAATCCGTTCAAAATATTCAATTTTTCAAAATAAAAGTCATAATCGTTTTAAAAATAATATTAAATTGTTTTAAAAAAAATGGTTATGACACTTACCTCAGGTTAATAAAAAAAATATTATAAAAATATGATATTTAGGATCGATTGCTAAGTGTTTAGGTGCTTGGTTACATTTTCTAAAAAGTTTAATTTTTTTTATATAAAAGTTAGATAATTTTAATATTTTTATTAATTAATTTTTTAAAATTTAAAATTTTATACTTTTAATTTTTAATATATAATTTCATAAAAATATTTACCTGAATATAAAATTATTATCTACATGTATATTCACGATGTTTCTGAAACCGATGTTTTCCCACAATTTACATTTGAACATAACCTCAAATTCGTCCGACATGATTTTTATATAATAGATTAAAAACATTCTTTTGATTCAAAGTGCAGAAATTAAAAATAATTTTCCTTGTCTTTTTATATATTGTTTACTATTTTAATTTCTTGGTGGTTTTCCTAGTAATATTATAGAATAAACTAATAATAATAATCTCTCATAATGGGAATTTGATATTCATTTTAGAAAATACTGAGCCAATGATCAAAGATATGGATCCAAAGATGTTTGAGAACAATTGTATTTTTAAAAATTTTAAATTTTTTATGTTAATAATTTATTTTTATATTTCTTTAATTTTTATAATATAATATCTTTTGATTTTTTAATATAATTTATTATAAATTTGCATATCTTACATAAAATCGCATGGTATTTTTACCTACAACATCTGAATTAAATGTCTATTCATGTCATCATGTGAGTTTCTTCATTTGTAGAAAGAATGTGATATTTTATCTTAACTTTATGTAGGTTTGATCTAGCAAATTCATGCAGTTCTTGTATATTATTGTACAACGGCTTACTTTATAGGTGCAATAGTTGTGCTTTTTATTAATTATCAATTTATATTATTTCCATTGGATTAAAAAAATTTAATTTTACAAGCAAATTTAATTCAGTATCATTTGCGTTTAATTAGTATTTTCTTAATAAACTAAGGTGATTGTGAATAATATTTGTTTTAAATACTCTCAACCATTTGACAATAAACGCTCAATCATCCTACTACAGTCACTGGTGGTCGAACCCGTGGCTTCTAGGAACAACAATAATTCCTTTAATCATAGAGGAAGTATATATATATGATAAACTACATATTTAGTACTAAACTACTACTTTTGTTTCGTTTTTTCTATCCAAACTTTATTTTTTTCAAAATCATACCATGTGTAGTTTAGATTTCAATTTGGTACTCTACCATTAAAATTTTTAACAGAATTGCTAATGTAGTATATATTTTTTCCAATGGTGATGTGGCATTACCTTACGATGATGTGTCAATATCAATGTTAAATTTTCAATGGCAGTGTACCAAAATGAAACTTAAAGTAAATATTAGGCATAGTTTTGAAAAAAAATTTAAATATCAAAATAGAAGGAAAATAATACTTTAACTACTAAACATATAATTTTTACGCTGAGATATATATATATATATATAGGTACAAATTGGGGGTGTTCAAATGGTTAATTCAGTCACCAACCGAACCAAATTAACATTTAACCGAATTAACCGAACATTTTTTAATCGTTAACCGAATTGAACTTTTTTTTGAAAATATTAATCGAACCGAACAAAGTTAAATTATTTCAGTTGGTTAACCAAATTAACTGATTTTTTATAGTATTTTTTATAGTTTTAAAATTAGATTAATTTAATTATAATAGAAATATTTTTTATTTGAGTTAAAATAATTGAGTTTTAATTCTTTATGGGTTTAGCTTAAAATCTGGATTTAGTATATATAATATTTAGTATTTAATAATTTTGGTTAATTCTATTAATTCGATTTCGAACCGAATTAACCGTTAACTGAATTCTAAAAAAATTATTAACCGTTCTCCGACTAAATTAATTTGATGACCGACCGAATTAACCGAACTAATTCGATTCAATTGATTAATTCGGTTAAAATCGAACATTGAACACCCGTAGTAAGAACATTTTCAAAACTCTTGTTTGTATTAGGAATATATATTTATCAATAAACCATTAAAGACGGATGGAAATTCAATAAAATTCAATTCTAGGCTGATAAATATTATCTTCCTAACCTAAACTTCAGATTGAACCCTAAAAAGTAAGATAGAACAGGAAAATATAGTTAAAAAACGAGCCTTGATTTCCCATTTACTTGGTCAAATTTTCTCACAACTAATCTTTAGGATGAACCGAGGAGGTAATGGGATAAAGTCGCAATCTTAAAAATTATAATTTTTTTTATATTTAAAATTATACATATACATTATAATTCACACCCTGTCAAAATTTATAACTTTACATTCCCTAAAAAAATTAATATAATTTTGTAAGTTTACAGCATATAATTTTTTGTTCATTCTTAACTGTCTTCCTAACCTAAACTCCCAAATTGAACCCTAAAAAAAGTTTCATTAAATGCAATTTTAATTAAATAATTAAAAAGGCGTAAACACTCAAGTTAACCCTACTTCCTATCGTCAAAGTCTTTTATTATTTCGTATAATATAATTATGGATTTAGTGTCTATATTTTTTAAATTTTAACAATAATTTAACTTTAAAAATAAAATTTATTTGTAAAATTTTATTATTAAGTTTTGTTTCATATGTTAATTTTATTTTAATTTTTAGTCAGTAGTTGATCATTTTAAGTTCTTAAAATCTACTCATTATCCATATAAATTTTTTGGATCCAAATTTAAAAATTATTAAAATATGATAACTAAAAATATATTAAATTAGAGTATATGAGCTAAATCCACAATTTATACTTAGTATAGGGACTAATGACTGAGCTTGACCATTTTTCTTTCTTCTTCCCCTCTCACAAGTTTTGCACACTAAATACAAAGGCAAAAACCGACCTTTCAACTAAATCAAGATCTTCTTCTTTCTCTAAACCTCTCATATAATAACGGTCCACAGAAGCCCAAGGTTTTAAGCAACCACAGATTAACCCCAAATGAGGAATTAACTCCTTAGTAGCTGATATGTTATTTTCATGGATTCTCATCACGTTAAATCTCACTTAATTAGGTTAGATTTCAATTTTGATTAAAAGAATCGTTTATTTCATCGTGCTTTTTGGGTTTCTTTTTTTTTTATAGGTGGAAAGTATACTTTGAATCAAAATCTTTCGATGTTAAAATCAGAGTTCCCTACTATGGACTTGCACTACTCTGTTTTCTTTTGCTTCAACGTGAAAAAAGGACAAGAACAGATTGATGGTTTATATCGATGTGTATACAAAAAGAAGTTTATGGTGAATGCCCATTTTTAATACGTTGAAGATGAGTTCTTTTAATGTATTTCTCTTTCAAATGATGTTCACTCTTTGTGGATTTTTCTCGGTCTTCATCTCTGCTCTGTTTGAATTCTTAAGCGAAGTTTTCTCCAGGTAAAACCTGATTTTCACTGTGTTTTAAATAATGAAAATCATTTTTTGTTTTATTATTTGTTCTTTTAATGATTTCAGGACTCAGAGATATACTAAGCTTTCTCAATTAACCAATCCAATTGAAGAGAAAACAGAGGAAGCTAAGCCTGATGCTATTGAATTGAAGGGTCAAGAAGAAGAAGAAGGAGAAGGAGAAATGTTTGAAGAAAAGCCCGAGTCACCAAAGTTTGTTTTCAAGTTTCAGTTTCAAACTCAGACATTTGAAGAATTGAGCAACAAGTTTAGAGATGATGAGAATGATTACGCTATTGGCCTGGAATCTGATCCTTCAATAAGCACAACAAACACGTATGAGTTCAATCCAGGGATTGATTTCAGCTTCGTAATGGAGAATCCAAAGGATTCCAGCTTTTGTGTCAATGATGGGTTGTTTCCGAAACAAGATCTCTCGGAACAAAACATGAATCTGAAGCTGATATCGTTGAAGAAACGACAGAGAAGGAAGAACAAATAGAAGAAACTGTTGATTTTGATGATGAAGATTCCAAGCAGGAAGGTGAGATTGGGTCTGCAAACATGGAGGATTCAATTTCAAATGATTTAGAGAATTTGTGGGAACATCAGCATCTGATAGAACAGCTGAAAATGGAGCTGAAAAAGGTTAGAGCAACGGGTTTGCCTACGATAATGGAAGAATCAGAGTCTCCGAAAATAATGGATGATTTGAAGCCATGGAAGATTGATGAAAGTTCCAACATGCTGATAGAATGAGTGAGCTTCACAAGTTTTACAAGAGTTACAGAGAAAGAATGAGGAGATTTGATATCTTGAATTACCAGAAGATGTATGCAATAGGTCAGTTTTCTCTCCTCTTTTCATTCAATTTTAGCATTTTCTGATTCGATGCTTATTTAGGGTTTACGTCCTAGTTCATATTGCTTTTTTTTTTTTACTGAATTCTTTTACTGAGACCACTTAGATGAATTTTATTTTTTTAAGATATCCAAGACCATGAGTTTTGAATTGGTAAATCTCTATGAGGAATTTTTACTAAAGTCAGTTAAGAAAATTTTTAGTAAGGGCTGAGATTAAATTATAAATCTCTAAGAGGTAGTATAATTTTAAAATTCTAGAATCAAGATAACATTTTTATCAAACTGGGGGACCGAAGGATAATTGTACCACTTTAATTAAAAGTTTTACAACCCTAGGGACTAAAAGAATAATTTCACCAAATCAGGGACAAGAAGTGCTGTCCCTAATAAATACTTATCTCTTAATTTTGTAATCCTTGATCTTATTAGAATCTTAAAACATTAATTTATGGTCGATGCCAACATCATTTTGATAATTTAAAATTATTCAGGAATGATAATTGTCCTCGACTCATCCCGAAACGAGATTAAAATAAACATTGAATAAAGTTAAATAAGATAGATTTAAAAACACGTGTAATGAAAAGTTGGGTCGAAGTGAATACAGAATATATAAAGAATAGGGTGAGATTGCAATTTGTGTTGGTTGAAAGTACCGTGTATGTCTTTGGTGCTGTCGAGCCAAACTAGTATGTTTGATGCTAGTTTCCACCATTTCATTAAAGAGCCGAGTTTATTATAGGAAAGCTATACCCAAGTCTCCATTTCTAACAAATTCACATTAATAAAACCAAATCTGCACCGGTTTTAATGCTCCACAAGAAAGGCTTCTTTAAAAGCTAGTCTTTTTGGTGTAAAGACACTTCAAAATTTAAAAGCCACATACAAGACAGCTTGGACAAAAAGGATGCGATCGGAGATCGTGTAGGACAAAAAGGTGACTTGAAGAGTTCCCGGACGATCCAATTGCAATTCAGTCCCCGCCATCATCAATCCCTTAAACGAGCCTCCTACAATCGAGATAACCACTCTACACCCTACACAATGTCAATGTTTAGAATTGTGTCCTCCCCCATCGAGGGGCTAAACTCACGATATAATGCTTTCAAAATAAATAATTCACGATCTAATACACTCTCATATTATTTGTTGAAATAGGGTGAAATCCACATAAGCAAAATCACGCATAATGTCATCTCCAGAATATAATACCTGGATGTTGAGGATTTTCGACCGACTGTGCAATAAAATTATGAATATAGATCAATGTTAATAAAAGTATATTTCAAAAAAAAATAATACTAAATTAACAATAAACTCAACCCTATATCAGCTTATGTTGATTGTTGAGTAAAAAAGATGTGGAAGAAAAAGAATAAACAATTTAGATTATATTTCGACCCATAAATAAGCTAATTATTGGTCAAATGTTTGATATAAATAAATATTTTTTTTTCAAAGTTATGAATGGCAAATCATTCGAGGGTTATGATTTACGTGTATGGTCTGTTTAATTTCTAATTTTTAAGGGTAAAGCACACAAATGATCCATTAAAAGTTATAAAATGATTATCTAATTATAAGGTGTTACTTTGTTGAGTCCCTCAACTATTAAAAGTTAAAAAATGGTCACTTGACTATTCATATGTTCCAAACTTGTCCTACTTTGTTAAAAAATTATCGGTCGTCTAGGGTAGACGTTAACATGCTAACTGGGATATGATAGTCGTTTGAGATTATGATATCATATTTTTTTCATAACCCAGTCAACAGGTTAACATTCAGCTCAGATTGTCGTCATTTTTTAACGGAAAAGGACGAGTTGTAACATATGAATAGTCGAGTGACTATTTTGTAACTTTTAATAGTCGGTTGACTATTTTGTAAATTTTAATAGTTAAAGGAATCAATAAAGTAACATCTTATAATCGGGATCATTTTATAACTTTTAATAAATAGGGGATTCAACAAAGCAACATTTTATAGTGAGAGGACCATTTATGTACTTTAACCTTTGTTATTATTAAATTGTAATTGGAGTTTCATGTACAAGTAAGCTAATTTTCCGTCACAATTCATGTAGGCTTTCTCCAGTCGAAGGATCCACTTGAATCGATTTCACCCCACAAATCATCCTCTTCTCTTCTGCACCAAAACCTGAGGCTCCGAGGGCGAAAAAGTCTGATTTTGACCCCACGGCCAAGTTCATCAATGAGCTCAACGGTGATCTAGAGATGGTCTACGTAGGACAGCTTTGCCTTTCCTGGGAAATACTTCATTGGCAATACGAGAAAGCCATTGAAATATGGGAAACCGATCGTTATGGCCTACGCACATTCAATGAAGTCGCTTCTGAGTTTCAACAGTTTCAAGTTTTGATGCAAAGATTCATCGAAAACGAATCCTTTGAAGGCCCCAGGGTGCAAAACTACGTAAAGAACCGATGCGTCCTACGCAATCTCCTTCAAGTTCCGGTTATTCGAGGTATGAACTCTCTCCGTCCTAGATATTCATCGTAACGGTAATTTAAATCCCTTTGAGCTGAGTTCTCTATTGCAGAGGATAGTATGAAGGATAAAAGGAAAGGTAGAAGAAAAGGAAGGGACGATTACGATGATGATAATGATGCCATTAGGAGTGACATGCTAGTCGAGATCATGGAAGAATCGATACGAATATTCTGGCGGTTCGTTCGATCCGATAAAGATGCAAATGTTGTGATCAAGAATTCCAGGAAAGGGACTCAAGTAGAACCTTTCGAACCAGCCGACGTTGAACTTCTAGCAGAGGTTCAAACCAGCCTGCAAAAGGTAATTAGTCCTGTAACTAAAAAGATGGAGGTGGTGCTTATTTTAGTTTGATCCATACATTTCGAGTTTGTGATTCGAATACCGTCGCGAGTAATCCTTCGTTTCGTGTCGGAAGTGCAGAAGGATAGGAAGCTTAAAGACATTGTAAGGAGTGGGAATTGCATACTGAGGAAATTGAGGAAGAATCAAGAGGCGAACTCGGATAATGTTCTTCATTTCTTCTGTCAAGTGGATTTGAAATTAGTGGCAAGAGTTTTGAACATGTCAAAAGTGACAAAGACCAACTCTTTTGGTGCCACAACAAATTGAGCAACATTAGTTTGTTCATAGGAAGATTAATGTAGAACCATCTTTTTTGCTCTTCCCCTGTTGACATAAGTCATCCAACAATATATACTCCATACTTGTCTGATCCCTAAGTCTCCTCTAATTATTAATATCAATATTGTTTCAATCAAATTCTTCCACTCATCAATTTAGAATTGAATGTTAACTTAAATTTGAATATTTAAAACACACAGATCAAATTATGTATGTTATGCAACTATAGCGCGAATTTAATGTGTTAATAAAATTATATCATATCAAATCACACATTCTATTTTCTACATATTATATCTAAATTGTTAATACAATTAGGGCAGTAAATGAGTCAGGTTGAAGTAGTGTTGGGCTCGACTCGAAAACTTACGCGTCTAAAATTGTCAAGCTCAACTCAAATTCGAAAAAAAATTGAAGCTCGACTCGAATCAAAAGCTCACGAGCTTAAAATTTTCAAGCTCGACTCAAAATCAAAAATTGAAACTTAACTCGAGCTCAAAAATTATAAACTCAAATATTATCAAACTTAGTTCGATTGAACCTCAAACTTGAATTTAAACATGAACCTTAAGTACATGAAAGCCTTATATTATATTTTTTAACAGAACAACATATAAATATTAATATTACTAATAATTTAATTTAAAAAACCTAAAATTTTAGTATATTATTTTTTTGAGTTTCTCGCTAGCTTTTCGAGTCATGTATCAAATAGAGACGGATGCACTTGATTACCTAAGGGTCAAGTGCATACCCATTATTTTGGATAAATTATTAAATATAGTTTAATATATTGAGGGAAGGAGAAGAAAATAAGAAATTTTGTATACCCATTTTGTTGGAAAAAAGAATTTAAAAATTTTTGAACCCTTATTTTTAAATTTGTGGATACACCACTGATATCAAGTAATTTGCTTCGACTCGTTCAGAATTCGCGTCGAGTTCAAGCTCTAATCGAGCTCATTCGATTTGAGAGTTATATGAACTTTAACTGAGTAAATCTCGAGTACCTTGCGATATTTCACGTGATTAATTTCCTTATTAAACCCAAGCTTATATTTAGCATAAACATATTACTAGATTGAGAATAGGACACAATTGAAAGGGTATTAAAAATTTGAGGACTCAATTAAAATATATTAAAATTTAACGACCAATTTAGAATATAAGTATAATTAACTAAAAAAATCGCTTATTTTATCTTTAAAAAGAAATTCGCACGTGCACTATAAATTCAACCGTAGATCAAAGAAGACCAAATTATAGCCGTAGGATCTAGGGCTTACATACAAAAGAATTCCTATTTATATATTCTCTTTCTCCAAATCTCAGCCGCTTAGGCCTTATCGTCTGTCTCTGGCATTTCTTTCTAAAACCAGAGGTGAGAAAATAAGACCCTAAGAGAAAATGGTTCAAAGGCTCACTTATCGTACTCGCCATAGCTATGCTACCAAATCAAATCAACACCGTGTCGTTAAGACCCCCGGTAAGTCTTGAAGTTCCAAAAATGATGCCGCTTCGGCTGCTCTGTTGTCGTTTTTTTTCTTCAAGTTTTTGCATGAAATAATGATGGTTTTTTGTTTTTGAAGGTGGGAAATTGGTTTATCAGACTACTAAGAAGAGAGCAAGTGGGCCTAAGTGTCCTGTTACTGGAAAGCGAATTCAGGGTGTAAGTTCTTTCGCTTTTTTTTTTAATTTAAGTTGGATTTTTTAGTTCGAAATTTCATTTTTTATTGTTAGGTTAATCAAGTAAGTGTGAAATGTAGATACCTTTTTGTTTATTTGGTTGCTAAAAATGATGATACTGTTATGTTCATTTTTCATGTTTGCTCTTGGAACTTTCTGTTTCGAGTTAAACATTTATTAATGATACTGTTGAGCTTAGTTCTCTTTTTATACTTTTATGTTCTAAGCTTTATAGAATGTGAAATACTAGTCATAAATGGGATTTCTACTTTCTTTTGAGCTTAGTGTTGAAGTTTATAGCTTACTATGTTTTAACGGTTTGAATTCCAGAAATACTGGTGTGTTCGTAAAAAATAGGAAATGGTGCTAAATGTTGATCATTGTAGTCATTTTTATTTGTTCATGGTGGAATGCTTTATTGCATATCAATTTGAAGCAGTTTACGAACTGTGGTGCTTGATTTTATTATACTTGTTGTATTTCTTGTAGAAATGTAAAGCCTTTTTTCAGTATAGGAAGTTTGGGTTTATTTTTTTTAACGCTATGCCATATTTATTTTACATTTTGAGTGGTTATTTAATGATTCTCCATGAATATGTGGTTGATTGAACTCAAGCAGCAAAGTTTTGAGCTTGTTCTCATGGCTTTCTTATACAACTTTTATGCAGATTCCTCACTTGAGGCCTGCTGAATACAAGCGATCGCGATTGCCTAGGAACCGAAGGACTGTGAATCGTGCCTATGGTGGTGTTTTGTCAGGCAGCGCTGTTAGAGAAAGGTACAACTATGTGCATTATTTACCAACTATTAAATGGTTATTGATTGTTTGTTTGAGGCAATTGATGATATTCTTATTTATATCTTCCTGTTTTTTATTATCCAAGGATAATCCGGGCCTTCTTGGTTGAAGAACAAAAGATTGTGAAGAAGGTACTCAAAATCCAGAAGGCAAAGGAAAAGCAATCCTCAAAGAGCTAGAAATTTTATTGCTGATGAAAGCCGAATTGTGTTTGGTTTGTTGGATTTTGCCTGTTAGAAATTCTTTTTTGTTATCATGGTGATTGATGAAACTGTGGAATCGAGTTTTGATTTATTTCCTACTAGTTAGTTTCATACTGATCGGTTTGCTGCTTGTTCACTTGACGATGTATCGATTGTGAAGTTATCGTTTAATGATGGTGTTATTTTGTTGACGTGGTTTCTTTTATTAGGCACTAATCTTGCTTTTGTTTCATCCTTGAACCCTGATGTGTTAACCTCTGCTTTTGAATCTCTAAACCCCAAACCCTAAATAAGAATTGGTTAGAGTTTTAGGTGTTTCAAGTCAACTTTAGCAAAAAGAATCTTCAGTTGGGTTTGCATGCTATATTTGGTTTTATTGTTTAAGGATTTGGTCTCCGGTTCCTGGTTGACAGAAATGTAATATGGTTGTAACCGTAGCCTGCTCATGTGTGGCTAGCTTTCCCTTACAAAGCTGCAACAAGATAGTTTTCATGATCTCTAGTCACAGTTCTGGAACTTAGAAGTTATGTTTCGAGTTTCGACCATTGTAGACCGTTGCTCGGCTCGTGAAGGTTTGAATTGGTCTTTATGTTTGATGGTATGGAAACAACACATTTGTTTAAGCCCTACTCCATCCTAAATGTGAACCTTAAATCTATTTTTCAGATATAATATCTTTATACAAACAATACATATAACAAGGAATATGTCAAAACTGTACAACAATGCTGGAAATAGTTATGCTGTTGATTCAAGTGTAGCGTTATCAGTTGAACAAGTGGTGGACGTTTCACTAAGACATTGCGGTGAATCCAATGGATCCGTCACATTTGGAGGCAAACTAAAAGGAAAGCACATCGGTAAATGGTTATAATCCAGGATTGAATCTGAGTTCTTTGTCGTTCCTTGCTCGCTTTCCACTACACCTCCATTACCTTGCATATCTAGGGGCAAGCCGATCGAGAAGCCACTGTATTCCTGTTGTTTCCCTCTGAAATCAGTACTCATTGAGTCCTTGCTAACATTGGCAATTATCGGCGGACTCGACAGTAGGGAAGAGGCATCAATAATGCCCTCGGTGGATGATCCAGACATGTCAAGCTGAGAAAACATCAAGTTGTTATGAAGTTCTCCGTTGGAGACATGAAATGCAGATGGCCTGTAAACTGTCTGATGAAATGGTTTATACGTGGGAATATGTAGAGCCGAAAAACCAGCAGTGTAGCCTTGTTGCAGTTCACCGTTGTTGCCTAACGGCTTGGTGGTTCTGATTTCAGTCGTGCAAGAAATGTTTTCCGAACCGACCATGGTGAAGTATATCAGATGGTACAATCTCTGGCAATGAGGATATCCAAGGGTGGGAAAGAGCTCTTTGAGCCATGGCTAGGGGTGCACAAAAAATCCGAATATCCGATTTTGCGAAAAAAATATCCGAAACCGGATTTGGGAAAAACCGGTTTTTTTTAACCGGATCGGATTTTTTTAAACAGGTTATTTTAACCGGTTTGGAGAAAAAACCTAGACCGGTTTTTTTACCGGATAAAAAACCGGTTTGAAAAAAACCGGTTAAAAAACCGGTTTTTATCCGGAAAAAAAAAACCGGTCTGGGTTTAAAAACTAGCCGTTGGGGGGATTTTGTGTCCGTTTTGACCGTTTTTTCTTTAAAAACTACCATTTTACCACCCTAAACATGTATAAATAGGTTGGGGATGTATTTGGTTGATTACAAATTTCTCAAATCTTATTACACAACACTTAAACATCTCTCAAATCTTATTTTTGTAATTTTTTGTTCATCATGAGTAACACGACTGAATCTTCCGTCGGGGGAAACCTTGAAGTCGTGAGAGTGATCGAACACACTCGAAACAAAGACATTTGGGATCACTACGATTTATGTGAGATGTCAAATGGCTCGAGGAGGGCGCGTTGTAAACTTTGTCTAAAGTTTCTTGCATCGGAAGGAAACACAACGTTGAAGAACCATTTGACAAAATCATGCAAGACACTTCGCTCAAGATCGGATCCTAGTCAATCGAATCTTACACCGCAAGGTGGTGTTTTTGTTTACGACAACGAAAAATTACGAGAAGCGTTTACAAAGTTCGTGATTACAAAAGCATTGCTGTTCGACCACTTTGATGATGAAGATTTCACGACAACAATTCAACAACTAATGCAACCACGTTATACTCAAGTAAGTCGTACTACCCTTAGAAGAGATGCTATAAAAATGTGGCGTACGGCGAGGGAAAAAATGATTTTAGGATTCCAATAACACCGTTATGGTGTGTCGCTTACATGTGACGTTTGGAGTTCCCCTCATAATACCGAAAATTCTTTTTTAGCCGTTACGTCACATTGGTTAGATCAAGATAATTGACAAATGATGAAAAGAACAATCGCGTTTGAATTATTCGGTGAGCCGCATACCGGTGCTAATTTATTTACACTTTTAAAAAGGGTAATTTGTCTTTATAAATTAGAAAATAAAGTTTTTTCTATATCCTTTGATAATGCATCGAATAATACAAACGCGGTTCCAGGATTGAAAATATTACTTTCACCGATTTTAGACGGTGCGTTTTTTCATACCCGTTGCGTTGCACACATAATTAATTTATCCGTGCAAGCCGGTTTGGAGGTTATTGAGCCGATTAGATTAGAATTTAAAACAATGATAAAATCGGTTCTTTGTAACAACAACAAAAGACTAAATGATTATAAACGATTTTGTAAGTCCGTTAATAAAAAGCTTTGGGTCCTAATTTGGATTGTCCAACTCGTTGGAACTCAACTTGGATGATGATGCATACTGCCTTAAGGCAAAGGGAAACATTGCAAACATTTCACGATCGGCTTTTCGAGAGGGGTCATGTCCCAAACATTTATCCGGATTCGAGTTGGGAAACTATAGCCAAAATAACCGATTTGCTTGAAGTTTTTAAAAATGCAACAACTTTTTTATCCGGTGTTTATTACCCTACTAGCCCGTTGGTTCTTAATCAAATATTTTTGTTGGCTACCCGACTAAATGACTTTGAATTTGAAACCGAAGTTTTTCAAGAAATTGGCTTTGCAATGAAGGAAAAACTTTTAAAATATTTTAAGGAGATTCCCCCTATTTTTACTTGTGCCGCTGCTTTAAACCCAACGTTAAATGTTGGTGGGGTTGAAACACTAATTGAACAAATTGCGTTTGCTTTTAATCTAACCGATGATGAACCCAACTTTGTCCAAAACCAAATAAATTATTTTAACAAATGTTTTCGAGACATGTTTGCAATTTATTTAACTAAATACGGATCAAGTAGTGTAATACACGATCAAATGAGAATGAATGCGGAATCATCTAGTAGCGTCCAAGTAACATAAATTTGAATCTTTTTAACACTCTTGTAAATTCCCAATCCAAACGATCACGTACTACCACCCCAAGTAGCGAGTTGGGAAATTACATGTCATGCGTTTTTCTATCAAAAATGACATTTGAAGAGTTTGAAAGTTTGGATATTTTGGCTTGGTGGAAAGAAAAGGAAGCACAATTTCCGATTCTAGCTGCCATGGCCCGTGATTTACTAACCGTCCAAGCTTCTACGGTAGCTTCGGAATCCGCTTTTTCTGTTAGTGGCAGGGTTATATCACAACGGAGATCAAGACTAAGTCCCGAGTCGGTGGAAGTATGCATTTGTTTAAAGGATTATTTGGATGGAGCGGCTCGTAAGCAACATATCACCACCCTAGAAGATGCAATTGATGCCGATTTGGAAGCAAACTTACACATTGAAGAAGTCGAACTTGAAAT